TTTCTTTAGATGAACCCGGGCTGGTTGGGAGTAGTCCTGAATATGACTGGGAGCATGTGCTAAACCAAATTGTGAGGGCCCAACGAATCCAGCCATTCATTTCTTGAGTTGTTTTTGTATTCAAGATGTAGCCACATAGCCTGTCGTTAGCTGTTAGACATTTTAATGTTTTCACGATAAGTTAGTTGGGAAAAAATTGGGAGTAGATGTGCCAACCAGTTATAGAACTCTTTGGAGTTTTGATTGTTATTTTTAAAAATAAAGAGTGGCTGCAGAATATTCTTAAGTGTATTTGGAACTATAGTAATTTACAAAATCTACATTTTTCTTGAACGTCAAACACTTAACCGCATGAGATGGGTAGTTGCTGTGAGGCAGCACAGAAATAAGAAGTCATGGCTTGCCCATAAGAACTTTGAACATAATCTTTCTTATTATAAGTGAGTCCTTTTTTTTTTTTTTTTTTTGAGTTGGAGTCTCACTCTGTCACCCATGCTGGAGTGCAGTGGTCGCTCCCGGCCACCGCAGCCTCGACCTGCTGGGCTCCAGTGATCCTTCTGCCTCAGCCTTCCAAGTAGCCGGAACTACAGGCGTGCACTACCACGCCTGGCTGATTTTTTGATTTATTGTAGAGATGAGGTCTCACTGCTCTGCACTGGGCTAACATGCAATTAGCTACAGTGTATGTGAATATTTTATATTTTTGCCAAAGTTCAGAACATTTCACAAGATGTCCTGATGTGCACATTTATTTATTTATTTATTTTGAGTTGGAGTCTCACTCTGTCGCCCAGACTGGAGTGCAGTGGCCGCTCCCGGCCACCGCAGCCTCGACCTGCTGGGCTCCAGCGATCCTTCCGCCTCAGCCTTCCGAGTAGCCAGAATTACAGGCATGCGCTACCACGCCCGGCTGATTTTTTGATTTATTGTAGAGATGAGGTCTTGCTGCCCAGGCGCATCTTGAACCCGCGGGCTTAGGCAATCCACTCACCTCAGCCTCCCAAAGCACGGGATTACAGGCTGAGCCACCGAGCCCGGCTGAGTCTTTCATTTAGAAGCACAGAGTTATCTCTGCTAGTGTTTTAAGTATTTTTCTTGGTGTCTACCTGGAGCCAAAAATACAATTATGACCATAAGTATTATTACAAATAAGATTGCTTTTAAGATTAAGTTTTTGAAAATTTCTCTCTAGGGAAATTGAGATTTTTCCATTAAATGGTAGGAAATTGTCCAGTTACATGCTTACTTTCTATTCGTATATGTGAGCCACCATACCCAGCTGGTTATATCATATCCAGCTGGGCGTGGTGGCTCATGCCTATAATCCCAGCACTTTGGAGGGTGAAGGCGAGAGGATTGCCTGAGTCCAGGGGTTCAAGACCAGCCTGGGCAACTTGGCAAGACCTCATCTCTACAATAAATCAAAATATTAGCCGGGCATGGTGGCGCATGCCTGTAGTTCCAACTACTTGGAAGACTGAGGTGGAAGGATCACCTGAGCCCAGCAGATCAAGACTGCGGTGACTGTGAGCATGCCACTGCACTCCAGCCTGGTTGACAGAGTGAGACACCAACTCAAAAAATAAAATATCACATCCATGCTGACAAGCCTTGTGCACAAAAGAATTCTCTAAAGAAAGCACAATACTGATGATACTTTACACTGTAGAGGTTCTTTAAATAGCAAACACTTAACAGCATAAAATCTGTATAGGAGACATCTCCTTTGGGGATAGGGGAGGAAATATGCCTACAGGTGACTCCCCAGAAAGAAAGTTATCCTTTATTCATTCATTCATTCATCCATCCATTCATTTTAGTTGGGTCTCACTCTGCCACCCAGGCTGTAGTGCGATGGCTTGATCACAGTTCACTATAACCTCATCCTCCTGGGCTCAGACAATCCCTCCCAGGTCGCTGGGACTACGGGCATGTACCACCACACCCCCTAACTCTTTTATTTCTTGTGGAGACGAGGTCTTGCTACGCTGCCTAGGCTAGCCTTAAACTCCTGTGCTCGAACCGTCCTCCTGCCTTGGCCTCCCAAAGTGCTGGAATGTCCTGTAGGCCTGAGTCGCTGCACCTGACCAAATTATCCATTTTTAAAAACATTGTAAGCAAAGAACTGATTATTTAAAACGTGTTTTCTCATTGTTACTTCTTTTAAGCTGTTCACAAACCTGATTGCTTTCTTTGTAGATAGAGAAAATTCTAGCACTTAGGCATTCAAGAGAGAAGAAAGTGAAGATTTTATGTTTTTCTTTGACCTAACTCAGCTAGAGAAACTAGGCAAAAACTACCAACTTGTTCTTGATATAGTAATCATGTGAAAGCAGGTCGTATAGGCCTTGTAGACTGGCCAAGAGCAGGTCTCACAGCACATATGTTGTAGAATGGTGCTGCCGGGTAGAACCTCACTCCCTTGGAAAATGTGTCATCCACATGAAAGGGAGAGAGAAGGTGGAAGATAGGCCTACCGAGCTCCTTCCACCACCTACATAACCGTACGAGTAGATGTGAGGTCAAGTACACCGACAGCCAGACTACCTGGGATAAACCTTTAAATTAGGATGAAAGTCATCGTTCCGGCTGGCTACCTGATTTCCATTTTGATAGAGACAATCTAAAGCTAAATAGAAAAGGATGTGAGGAACCAATCTTGCTAGTGACACTGACCAAAGCCCCTATAGATGCTAAGAGTGACAAGGGCATACAATATGATAGGACAATAATTAAAGTTGATATTTGAGTGTTGGCCGGGTTCGGTGGCTCAGCCTGTAATCCCAGCACTTTGGGAGACCAAGGCGAGTGAATTGCCTGAGTCCACGGGTTTGAGACTAGCCTGGGCAACTTGGTGAAACTTCTTCTTTACAATAAGTTTTAAAAAATTAGCTGCACGTGGTAGCACATGCCTGTAGTTCCAGCTACTGGGAAGGCTAAGGCGGAAGGATCACCGGAGCCCAGCAGGTCGAGGCTGCGGTGGCCGGGAGCATGCCACTGCACTCCAGTCTGGGCAACAGAGTGAGATTCCAACTCAAAGAAAGTGAATTTTAAAAATTGTAACTTGGTAGTCTTCACCAGTAGTAACACGTTTCCCATCTCTTCTCTTTTTCATCTTTTTTCTGTGTATTTAACTTCACTTTGATTGCTCTTCATTGTGCTTGAGAACTTCAGTTTTTTCTTCTTTTTTCATCTTCCACTCTGTTGTGCCAGGATGTACCTGCAAATCTAATGCAAAGGCATCATGGAATACAAAAGATTAGAACATTACTACCTCACAGATTCTTGTATGAGTTTCAGCTATTTCTAACTTGTTATGGTCTGGATTGTTGTAATTTAAATGAAAAAATTATAGTTAGTAAAAAGTCTGTTCAATGTACTTTACAGGTATTTTGTAGTCTAATTGGTGTTTATAACTTTTAAGTATCAACCTTCTCTGAAAATGTATGGATAGATCCATGAACATTCCTTATTGAAAGAGCATAATTGAATAGAAAAATAACTGTAGAAGCATTTTTAAATTACCAAATGGTATTGTCACAACATACCTATTTAAAATAAGCATTAACTAAGCACTTATATGAAATCTTTCCCTGGAGTATTGTGATTTCTTACGTCTGATTGCCAAATTTCCAGTGTAAAGCAAAACCCAACTTGTCTTAATTTTTGCCAGTTTTACTTTTGACATCTTTTGGCTCTGGCAGAAAGCAGACTTGAAGTCTGATTGGTAGTGATTCAGTAGTTTTTGTTCTGTTTATAAAATAGAACCTTCAGAATATGCATGGCTTACTGACCCGTTTTAAAGGAGTGCCTGAAGGTCAAAATGTCATTGTTCTAAGGATTTATTAAATGAGTCTATTGAAAGTCTCTTAGAGCCTTGATTTGTTTAAGGTGATTTTCTCTTAACAGGTATTGCAAGGACTTTCTGTCAGTTTTAGAAAAAGCTTGACTAAATTCACTGAATTGTTTGAGGACAGTACTTTTTATAGTTGTTGTTTTTGCTTTTTCCTTTTTCTTTTGAGGACAGTACTTTTATAAACAAAGCCCTTCCAGGAATCATCACTGCTCCTCCCAATTTAACTTTCCCAGCCAAAAAGAAAAGGTTCTTCTTTCATTGAACAAACATTTGATGAGTATTAATATGCCCCTGTCCTGTCCACCCCACCAGCCCCTGCTGACTGGATGGAGAGCAGGGTTTGTGGGCATTGCCACTGAGGAATTCAACCTAGTGGGGAAGAAAACATTCTGGAACTGTAAAGATTTGGTTATCTTCTGGCATACCCCCAAAGAACCAATTGATACATAAGGCCTCCCTAATTAAGAAGCCAATGAAGCCGGGCTCGGTGGCTTAGCCTGTAATCCCGCACTTTGGGAGGCTGAGGTGAGTGGATTGCCTGAGCCCGCGGGTTCGAGACCCGCCCGGGCAACTTGGCATGACTTCGTCTCTAACAATAAATAAAAAAAATTAGCCGGGCGTGGTAGCGCGTGCCTGTAGCTCCAGCTACTTGGAAGGCTGAGGCGGAAGGATTGCCAGAACCCAGCAGGTTGAGGCTGCGGTGGCTGGGAGCATGCCACTGCACTCCAGTCTGGGCTACAGAGTGAGACTCCAACTCAAAAAAAACAAGCCAGTGAGTGAACTGTTGTACTCCCACAGGCATTGCATGCAAGCCCGGCCCATAATTCTTCAAGAAGGTTTTTTTTCTTAGGCACAAAGATTAAATGGTAATGCCAAATTTTTAACCTAGTTTTTTTAACTCCCAGAATACTCTGTGATACCAAGTGATTTTTTTCTTGTTTTCTTTCTTTCTTAATTCATACTGACTTTAGCATACAAAAGAAAGATGAGGCTCTTTGAGTGTTTTCACATAAGATTATAGTTTTTTAAAATGGCAATGAGAGTCACTTCTACTTGTTGAACGTTTACTCTCAACTCTAGTAGGTGTATATAGAATGCATCTTACTGTGACCTGTACTCATGTTTTTGCCTTCTTCTCTTCCAGTGGAGTTGGACCACAGGATTGATTTTGAACTCAGAGAAGGCCTTGTGGAGAGCCGCTACTGGTCAGCTGTCACGTCACATACGGCCTACTGGTCGTCCTTGGATGTTGCCCTCTTTCTTTTAACCTTCATGTACAAACATGAGCACGATAATGATGCAAAACCCAATTTAGACCCAATCTGAACTCTGGAAGGATATTCATGGCCCAAAATTGATTTTTTTTTTCCTGTTTAAATGTGTGTGTCAAGATATGGAAATTTCAGGGTTCCATATGTTTCAGTTTTGTTTAGGGCAAGAAATATTTGAATTTAAAAGCACTTTATTTTATTTTTTAAAAAACATGTTTCCGGTCCTAAAGAAGTTATTTACAGTTTCCATCATTTTGATTATGAATCTGACAACCCCTGCAAGCAATCAAGCGAGACCTGGAAATGAGGAAGGTTTGGGTGAACTGCACGGAAAGGCTATACATCACAACCTAATTTCTCCCAAGTATAAAGGCATAGTAATGGGTGAATCTAATGTGTTGACCAAAATATGTTACAAATTAAAAATGGTCAAAGTCCTGTGTCTTCTCTATAACAACCACAAGGCACTATCATTGTTTTAAATTTCTGTGACAACTCCCATTTCCACATCCCTTTGAGCAAAGAGTGTCACAGATGTAAAATTTCTTGCATTTAACTTGTTTAAAAACCTAATGCTGAAAAAGAATATTTGAACTACTGTATTTATATTTATTACCTCTGACTAATTGCTTTATTTCAATGTATGCTTCAAATGTTACTTTTTTAAATGTTTTCTTTGAACATAAGAGCCACATTTATTTTCTGTAGTATTGAGAGCATTTTTTCCTCAGAACTCCTTCTTTGTACTCTTCAGATGAATATACAGACACTGTGGCATACTTTCAGTTTTTGGGTTTTTTTCATTAAAAACTTGTGGTTTCACACAAATGACACTAGTTCAGTTTTTTTAAGTGATTTTTTTTATGTCACATGTTCCTCAGAGAAAAGTAAAGTTTTTCTAAACTTGACACACAGTATTCCATAATGGGTACATTTCATTAACTCTACTAGAAAATTAGCACATGTCTTTGGAATAGGGAGTGTGACAACTATTTCAGATGTATAAATATTTGTGTGCCAAATAATTAAGCTATATGAAGGAATGGCGTGCCACTAACACATATTATTTTTAAAGTATTGAAAAAACATCAAGACTCAAGGCACAGTAAATCAGGATTCTGAGGCACTGGAAGGGTTTTCTTAAGCTGCCATTGTTTCCACAGTGCTTTTCATCTGAGGGGCTCAAAGTTTTAAAAGGGGTACATTTGGTAATCTAGTAGCTCCTTGAGGTAAGTAGATGAATGTTGTTCTTGTATCACGTGTTAATTCACCAAGGCACCAAAACATTCTAAGTGCCTTGCCTTCAGTGACATCGCAAAGCAGAAAAGTTTGAATTTCCAAGTCAGACTGTATTTTATGTGCTGTTCAGTGATTTGATTTACATGTGACCTCTGAGTAGTTTGCAAACAATAATAACAGAAGTTGCAGTTCATAATTTAGAGACATGACCAGGAAGCCAGTGTATTTCCCTGCTTGACTTCCACATTCCTGGGTTCTCATATACACGGGAGGAGCTACCAAGGACATCAGCAGCCATCTCTGCCACCCCCAGCCTCACTTCTGAGTGGGTCCACTGGGTTCCCCCTAAGGTGCTGTTCTTTCTTGTCTTGCAAGGAATTTCTTAGCTTCCCAGTAATCATTGTCAAACCCAAGCAAAGTTGGTCAGCTGTATATCTCGCCTGCTCCTTTCTTTATAAGATAGCAGAGTCTGGCTTACTTATAGATCTTATTGGCACTCTCAGTACTGTTGCCTGTTTTGACCTTTCACTGAATTTGCACAACATAAAGCACTTAATGTTTAAAAAAACCCCAAGGCTCCGTGACCAAGTATATGACTCACTAAAAATCCCTTGCTATAAAAGGCTTTTGATGAGACCTTGGTGAAGCTGAAGCAATCTCTTTCTAATTTAGAGATTCCTATGAACTCAGGTCATTTTCATAGCCTGTTTATTTTGTAGTCTTATTTAGTTCTCAGGAAAACTCAACTCGTGCTGTATGACTGTATCGTTATAGGTACGTGAGCATATGTTGCTGTAGGTAGTATTATACGCAAGTGAGTCAGACCTTGAAGGGATTAGTTCTTAGCCACTAGAATGTGAAGAGCCCTTTTTACCTGAGAAGATTGAAATTATGTCAAACCTTTTCATTTTATATCATTGAGTAAAAAGAAAAGTATATTCCCATAGCCATAGGAATAGGTCTGCTTTCTTTTTTTTTTTTCATATTGAGAAAACAAAATCATATTTAACTACTTGGAGTTTATTTGAATTCTTGGAAAGAGCAATATTCAGAAACCTTTTTCAAAAATAAGACGTTCCGGACTACTGGACAGGTGTTTTGTTTTCAGTTCATTATCTCATCTAATAGAGATGGTAGTTTTGATTTTGTAGTATCCTGGCTTCTATGTCTTTGCATGTTATCATGGGATGTACTTGTATATACTCAATTAATATACAGAGTATGTGTAATTCTGGCTTGATTTAGAAGCTAAGTCAGTTACTGAGTAACATTTGCAACTTTATTCCAGCGAGTACTAAATTGGCCAAAAAAAGTTTTGTTTTTGATACCATTAAAATTTTATTCTCTATTTTGTGTACATGCTATGATTCTCCTGAGTACTGATTAGATCGTTCAACTTTAATCCAGCTTGTTTTCTAAGAGTTACTGAAAGTTCGAATAAGGAGGATATCTTGGATTAAATCTTGCTTCATTTTTACTTTAAAATTAGCCTTCTAAGAGTTACTGAAAGTTCGAATAAGGAGGATATCTTGGATTAAATCTTGCTTCATTTTTACTTTAAAATTAGCCTTCCTAAGTCCTTTTGTTCATAGCTTTTATTCTCAGCAGTAGTTTTGCTCATATTATAATCCAGTGTTACTATATTTTAGAATATAATTAGAAAATATACTGGGTTTTCCAGTAACTCCTTTTATATATGAAGCAAGCCTTAGGAATCTCGTCTTTTACTTCTATTAAATGGCATCTGTTATCTTTTAAAAACACTAGCACTGAATATGCTTCTCCTGATACACCAAAGGTCTCAGACAGAGATGTGTTAACATTTATCTTCAGTCCCTTTCCCTTGTTGGGAACTGAAGCATTCTAATCTATAAGGCATTTTACACACCATATTCTGGCTTTGCATCACCCAGAGAACAGACAGAAGGAAAAGAAACCATCTGTGCAGTGTCACAACAGTGCCACTGTGCATTCAGTGATAGCCCCTGAGCACTTCGTGGTGGAGCCAGACCAAGCCAAGAGATATGACGGCGCAAGGTCTGCAGAAGACAAGTCATTGGATTTCTGATCAGTTTACTTGATGTTTCTGTCTTCTCAGTTATTAATGAGTGTGGCATTTAAACCATTGAGAAAACGCATTTGAGTGCTGTCTCACCATTATTTTTGAATAATCTTTCCTTGTCATGGAAGTGGGGCTAAAGGATGCAAAATGTTAGCGATCAAGGCAGAGCAAAAAGGAAGGTAGTGATTACAGACTGGGGAAAGAAGCTCGAATTTTACTAGACTGTCAGGTGGTGGGCCTCTGTGATTATTCTCACGTTTTCTTTCCCTTTTTTTTTTTTTTTTGAGTTGGAGTCTCACTCCATCGCCCAGACTGGAGTGCAGTGGCCGCTCCCGGCCCCCGCAGCCTCGACCTGCTGGGCTCCGGCGATCCTTCCGCCTCAGCCTTCCGAGTAGCTGGAACTACAGGCGCGCGCTACCACGCCCAGGCGGGTCTCGCACTAGCGGGCTCAGGCAATCCACTCACCTCGGCCTCCCAAAGCGCGGGATTACAGGCTGAGCCACCGAGCCAGGCCTATTCTCATGTTTTCTATCCCTTATCTACATTCTGCTGTCACCCCTGGGCCTCAGGCCACTGTCAAGGATCTTTCTGATGGCACTCTGTCTGAATTGAAATAATGAATTTGGAAGGTCTTATTGAGTAGTGCTGGGATGGTGGCAGCCTGGGTTATATACATTCTGTTTCAATCTTTAGGACATGCTAGGGATAGTTTCCAATGAATCCTAAAATTTCAGGATCTGTACAGATTTTAGAGGTCAGCTAGTCCAACCCGTTTTGGTGTCAAGTAAAGCATTGAAGTGGCAGTAAAGGTCATGAAAAGTAAAGTGAGGGACTGCAGACTCGATGAAAGGTAGATACAGAGACAAGAGAGGGAGGTGGTGCAGTCTCCAAGGAAAAATACGCAGGACAGCAGGATTCTAGAGCCAGAAGAGGGGGTTGGAGGTCCTTCTTTTCTAAAGCATAGTCTGCAAATGTTACCAGGTGCTGTGTCAGAAAATAAGTTTGGGAAACACCAGATTAAAGAGGTTTCTTTACAGCAGGACTTTGGGAGACTTTGTGAGTATTGTGAGTATATCTGGTGCTGCGTGAGGGGTTCCTGATGTATTTATCCAGACATTTTCTATTTGGAATTTACTGAGAGAAATTCTATCACACTTAATTCCTTTATTTTATAACTGCACCCCCTCCTGGGATCCTTTGTTTTACAAGTGAGCACTCCCACCCCTTACAATCACATGGCCAACCAATGACAGCCAGAATTCGAACCTATACCCCGATTCCCAACTCTTAAACTGATCTGTCTGTTTCTCCTGATAGATAGGGAACTCTTCCTAAAGGACAGACACTGCCTCTCCATTTTGTCCCCACCTGCCCTCCTCACACACCCCTCCTCTTGGGTAACTGGATGCTTTATTTACAGCAAGCTGTTGACTCTGTCCATAGGCCTGTGTTCCAGAGTTGGGCCTCATTCCTACAAGGTCTGGACAGATTGCTTTCATATCCCAGATGGAAAATACCCAGGAAAAAGAAAATTCAAAACCAGAAATATATGTGATGTTACCGATGCAAAGTTGGAAAAGAAGCAAGTTACATGGTGTTATACGATGTGGAATATTGCTTTCATTCCATAATGTTTATATGTTGGCCTTTTATCAATTCATGACAAATAGGTCGTTTCTAAAACTGTTCCGACATAGAATAACTCATAGAAATTTAAATTTTAAGTGCTAATCTTTTTGGAGACTAGGAGAAGAGTTCTTACTATTGGGTGGTGTGTGTTCCTAAAATATAGCCCCTTGGCAGGTTGTTAGTGTGAACTTTTCCTCTGCCTTTGTGTTTGAATAGGGGTGGGTGCATGCTTAGTATTGTCTGTCGCCTTATGGTTTTTTATTTATACACAACAGGGTACAACTTGCTTCCTCCCCACCCTACGGTTGTCAGGATATGTTGGGAAATGTTCTGTAGGAAGATCACATCTGGTTTTCTGTTGGAGTCAGATGAAAAACAAGTCTGTTAGTGAACCTTGAACATTTTCTCCTGGAAGACTTCAAATATCCAGGAGCCTCATTCATACCCTCTCTTGACTGAATCCACACCCACTGTCATCTCTGCTTGATCTCTAGAAATATTTCTTTTTTTCTTTTTCTTTTTTTGAGTTGGAGTCTCACTCTGTCGCCCAGACTGGAGTGCAGTGGCCACTCCCGGCCACTGCAGCCTCGCCTGCTGGGCTCCGGGGATCCTCACGCCTCAGCCTTCCAAGTAGCTGGAACTACAGGCACATGCTACCACGCCCCGCTGATTTTTGGTTTATTGTAGAGAAGATGAGGTCTCGCCAAGTTGCCCGGGCAGGTTCCAAACCCGCAGGCTCAGGCAATTCACTCACCTCAGCCTCCCAAAACATGGGATTACAGGCTGAGCCACCGAACCCGGCTTCTAGAAATATTTTTTTTTTTGAGGTTTTTTTTTTTAATTATTATTTTTTATTATGAAGTTGTGGGGTACAGTTAAGGGTTAGGTATACAATTGC